CACAAGTGGTAGAGCGCTAGCCTTGAGCTGAAGAGCTGAGGGACAGTGGGACAATACCCAGGCCCAGAATTCAAGCCCTAAGGCTGACAAAAAATAAATAAATAAAAGGTCAGTGTGGAACAAAAACCTGTGGATAAAAAAGCAGGCATTGTAAGTAGAGAAACAGATCATCCTGGAAATCCCAGCTGTAGTTCAATGTTAGAAGCTCCTCCGTGGAGATTGGTTGTGGAAACAAAAAACTCAACTACCATGGATGACTTTAAGTGGAACAGAAAGTTGAAAAGTTCACACCCAAGGTCATTGTCAAAAACAGCGAACATCCTGGTTGTGAATAATTTAGAGGTGGAGAAACTCACATTTGTAACACTCGAGCGAGAGCATTATTCTAATTGAAATTAGTCAGACATTGACAAACACTGCATGATCTCTTTCAAGGGCGGACTCTTAAAAATAAATGCATGGAAACCGAATTAGAACACTGACCCTAGAGAGAGGGAAGACTTAAGCAGGCAGGAGTGTGTTAAAGCACCCACACCTAGACTTATATAAGATAAATGAATCTGGATAACTAACAGAGAGCGTGGTGATGACAGTTCATGATCCTGTAGTGTGTACTGGTCGTCTGCTAAGAGGCTATAGTTTAGGGGGTTTTCTCCCTCCTCCCCAACAAACACACAGAGAGAGATACGGTTAGGAAGATGAACAGCATATCTCATTCCCACAGTAACCATTTACTCTGTGTGTCCAAACATGTTACATACTTCATTGTACACTAAAAATTGATTTGAATAGGAAGAAAGAAATTAGACCTTGATGAGAATATCTAATAAGAGCACAATGAAAGAGAAATGATATGAAAGGGTAGAAAAAGTAAGATCTCTAAAGTGAGTATTCTGCCTCAATAGCTTGGTAACAAACTTCAATTGTTACCTGAGAAGTCATTAAGCTCGATTACAAGTTAACAAATAGCATGCCATCTGAGGAGCAAAATAATATAACATGCACAGAGACTCAGAGAAACGTGGACATTGTTAACAACATAAGCAAGGGAGAAAGGAAGAGAAAAGATTAGTGAAGAAATAATGGCTGAATATTTTTTTTCTCAACTGATGAAACATTAAACTGCACTCTCAGAATATTCAATAAAAGAATAAGCATGAACACACCCACCCTGTATCCACCATACTGAAAAAGTTCAAAGAAGAAACTAAGGAGAAAACTGCCCCTTGACCCAGTAATCTCTTGAAATTATCAAGAGAATAATGATATTTTTAAGATGTACAAACCCTAGTGGACTAAACAGTTGTTATCACCAGAAACAATGGAAGCCAGAAGGTTGTAGAATGATATAGTCAAAGAGCTGAGGGGTAAAATAACAAACACACTTTCAACCAATGCAGAAAATCCTCACAGTGATCTCAGATCAAATTAATTATCCTCCCTTCATTGCGGTTACAAAGACTACTTGTAGAATGTCCTGAGAACACCACGTCCAGGGGTAGGAGGAAACTGGTGGGAGCATCACAGGCTGCCCCAGGTCCACCTTGAAACAGTGCGTGATGGTCCCTGAGTGCAACGCTCCTGGTGGACTTCTACCTTGTCACTCATTGGTGGCACCAGCCTTGTATATGCAGTCAAGATGCTCGGCCCTGCCTCCCCCCCCACCCCCACGCAAGGTGGGTAGAGGTATCAGGGTGGAGCCAGGGCTTCCCGGTGCCCACACTGGTCTTGTTTTGCTAGGCTGTAGTAAGACCCCTCTCTTTCTCTCCAGTGCCTCCTTAGGCCCAGATTCAGAAGGATCCAGGGGTACACCGTTCCAAAGATCATTCACTGGGGATATCATTATGGAGAATGTAAAATCTAAAACACAATTCTTATGTCCCCTTTTCTTCTCTTCTTTCTGAATATGTACTACAAATAGATCAATACCATCAACAAACTTCATAGCATGCCACAACCAACTGTTCAGAGGGCTATTAGGAAAATATACCCAAATTCAAAATCTGTGGGTGAGGAGAACAAACCCATACTATTTCTCTGGGAATAGGGTTGTCCAGTTAAACTATATCAGATATTCTATTCATAAAACATACATTTTTGAAGTCGTGTTTTCATCATGTAGAACAGGGAGACAAAGGAGTATTTCTTACAAGGCAGGATCTTTCTCTACAATGTGTTCTCCATTCCACTCCGCCAAAGCGGGTGCATGAGAACAGAATCACTGAGGCCTCACACACCCGACATAAACTCCACAAGTAACCCAGTCTCCACTTGTTTTCAGAGAAAGCTTCTGGAATCCATTCAAGGACGGTTAGGAACTGACTTTTCAAGAATGGACATGAGTAGATGAAGCCAGCTCACCTAAGCAAAGGCATTTTGCTGGCATAGCTGAATGTCTTCTGGGCAGGACATGATGATTTGGCCTGAACAAAAACAGGACACACACTCTGGAAAGGCACGGTGAGCATCCATTCTGCACAAACAAAGCCTAAAACCATCACTGTCCATCAGCAAACAGCTTCTTCCTCATAGGATTCTTGAACATTGTGCGAGCACTATCTCTTAGGTAGGAAGGAACTAGTGGAAACAGCAGAGTTTAGCCCCAGATTTATGATTTACCTCAATCTGCCTCTCTGATCTTGTTTTTTCTGGTTTCTTGCTGGCTGACCACAGGAGGTCTTTTTTCCTACAAAAATCTGATGTCCTAGTATTAGTTTATCTGTGTGTTGGGCAGTTTCCTTGTTAGACATCAAGAGCAGAGCAGAAAGTTCTAGCAAATCCCAACTCCTATCAGGGAGCCAGGTCAATAAAAATGCAACTAGAAACCCTATAAAAATGCTCATCTAAGGGCTGCTGGGTGTGACTCCCGGGAGACACATGTGTTGAGCCTGAAGACCCAGGCCAAGGCTCTGGGTTTGGTCCTTTGCAGCAAAACAAAACAAAAACTCCCACTTGAGAACGGAGATCTACCTAACACTTCAGTCAGAATCTGAATGGGCCCCAAATGACAATGGGCCCAGGAAGGAGCTTTCTTTTAGGGATAACAGATTAACCACAAGTGGAGGGGTAGATAATCGCAAAGAATAACAGACCTTATAGCTGTGGAAGATCCCATTCCTGTTTTTTATCTTTATCACTTTTATGGGTCTGCCTAAAATAGGGACCATTTTATCCTCTCTCAAATGCATTTGATTTGCATGTCTGTATGACAAATTACTCCACTCTCTTACTCTTAAGGCTAGTTGAGGTCAAGCGCCTAATGACGCTCTATAGAGGAAATACCAGGGGAGTTGGAATTTATGTCCTTGGAAGTTTCATGATGAAGGCATAAGAATTTCTATTCCCATGACCATAATATCAGATTCCATTGTTCACTGCCAAGGAAGAGCCCTTTTATGACATCCTTTTTCATTTCTTTGTCTTTCATGTAATTCTACACTCACAACTTTTGCTGTTAACTCCCATCAAGTTCAGACAGAGACAAGCAATCTGGACTTACTGCCAGCCAACTTGGTTGATGGGACAGGTCCCAGGGCAAGCTTCAGCTACCATAGAGTGCCGGGCCTCAGAGTCTCAGAGCTACCACTGTGCCTGGATCATTAAGGTGAATGGGAGAAGCACCTTGCTAAATCTCTGCAGACAAATTCAAGGTTACCAGAGTGGGATGGGATGGGAAAGGCACACCTTCGGCCATCTAGATGACTTGTGTTCCTGTTTTAAGGCATTGCAGAGGAAACCCAAGGAAGAGAGTCTGAAACTTTTGCATGATGGAAATGGAAAGACCTATTTTTTTCCTTGGGAGCACTAAAGAGAAATCAGCCCTATGTCTTCATGCTCACTAAGAGTGCCAAGTAAGCACCACCCTCTGTCTGGTAACTCCTGGTTATGTCCATTCTCAAAGCAAAGCCCCAAAGCCTTGCAGACATGAAAGTAGAAATGAGATCACCTCGTATCAAATTCCTTTAAAAGGCAGAATGTTGCTAACTTAGAGATATTTTATAGGAGTTAGCACATGCATATGCTTAGTTATTTCAGAGAACTGGCTAACCATTTTTCAGCATCTCACACTGCCGCATAACACATGGATTTCTGAGCTGTGGGGATGGGGCACTCTTCCGTCATGAAGAAAGCTATTGTTAGGCAGACTACACAATTTCAAGAGATGAAAATCAGAGTCTAAAAACCTATTTGCTAAACCCTTCACATTTTCAAGACCTGGAAGTGTTTTGACCACATATTTTCGTTCTGCCAAATTGTCTTTTAGTTGTCTGAGATTCGTTTGTTTGAAACAATCTATCTCCTAAGACATTTCCATTACAACATGGAAATCTTTTAAGAAGCACAAAAGGTAATACATTCAGCTTCAGAATTGAGGGAAACAGTCAGAGTCTTAACAGGGCCCCAATGCATCGAAGCCTCAGGCACTGTTTAAATCAGATGTTCAGAAAGCAAGTAGGCACCAATACAGGCAAAGAGCGACAAGGCCAGGATGGCACCAGCACAGGCATAGACCCACAAGGCCAGCATCCCCTTCCCTCTAATCTGTAATCTGTCACCATTATCAGAGCAAGTGACATAAAGTACTCAGAAATCTACAAATAATCCACACGGCCAAGCCACTGACATTTTTCCAGTTCTGATCATGTAAAATAAATTACAAAATCCCCTTATGAAGTGAATCCATTCAGACTGGGCCACAGATTTCAACATACATTTCTCTATCAGCAGTGTTCTTCCACAGTTATTGCAGAACAACAGCTGGCCACATGAGTAGGGCTGGTGAGTGTGGACATTATTTCCAAATGGGCCCGGGGTGGCTGCAGAGCATATTTTTTAAAGTATCACTTGACATTTTTTTTTCCACTTGTTTTTTACGGATCAAAGAAGTGCCCAGCACAGTAACAGAAACACAACTGATAGGATTTAGAGGGCGCTCTCTGCTTTGCTTCTTTCCCCATTGCCACCCATACCTCACCCCGGTGAGGGCTGCCTGTACTCACCAAACCTTGGCAGGTGGAAAGAGCCACCGAGGAATTCCTCTGGTGGCGCAAGGAGCCTTGGTAGAAGCAGAGGTCCTCGGCCCGGAACGCGTGCACGGACGTGGTGCCCTGCCTGCCCAGTGTCTGCACCAGAAATCCAGGAGCCACCAGGCTGCTGGCAGCCTTCAGGTCCAGGTGGAAGTCGTGCCTGGTGCCCTTCAGCCGGAGGTGCAGAGTGTCCCCTCCGTGCCGGTCTGCTGCGCGTCGGCGCCGCTGGTGGTGTGTGATTTCGTGGGACACAAACTCTCCCCTGTGGTCAACCTCGTAAGCAGACACCAGGTCGTACTCTGAAAATGGAGAGCAGGGAGCGTCTGAGTCACCACAGGTCCGGACTCAGGGGTTCTTACATCACAGGGCATGCCTGTCACGCACTCACCGCGGAGTGAGGTAGGCAAAGGCAACACACACCCACTCTGAAAAGGACCATGAGGGTCACAGGGGACTCTTAAACGTGTCCTTTAGGTTTAAGCCACTGCTTTCTACTACCACATTACCAGTCTAGAAAATTCCATGCAACTAAAAGAGAAAATTGATTCCCAACCAAATAAAATGCAAAGCTGAAGTTTTGTGATTAAATTTCACAACGTTCCCCGGAGTCATTGTTACATATAATTATTTTCATAGTTCTGAAATTATAATTCTATCATATGCTTGTTTCTTACACTATGATTTCTCAGAAAACAGGTGAAAAGAATAAAAAGGTGACAGACACTCTTTGTTGTTTGTTTTGTTATTAAATCATTAAGTGGGATGCCCAGGAGACCACGGCAGAATGGCGATAAGGGACAGACATTGGTGTTATGGGAGGAGTGAAATAGTTTCCTTCACCACTAACACTGAAGCTCTTCACAGATACTGGTCTCTATGTGCCTGTCCAGTCCCGGTCAGGAGCGGTGTGGGGGACCAGGAACAGGCCACGGGGTGCTCAGGAGACTGTCAGCAAAGGCATTCATTAGATTTGGGACTGGGTGCGTTGCCTGGAGGCCCCAGTGCTCTTGGTGAAGGGGCCTCAGCAGCACAGGGGTTATGAGCCAGGCAGACAGTCCTACAGAGCAGGCGGAGGTCAGAGGGCACGGATATGGAGTCAGGTGGGCATGACAATGGAGCAGGTGACCAGGTAGCAGGTAGGTGTCAGAGGGTGGGACTATGGGGTCAGAGGGCAGGACCACAGGGCAGGTAGGGGTCACAGGGCCTGACCAGCGCTCTGTCACTAATGCTTCCCTATTCCTCAGAAGCTTTGATGCATATCAAACCTGTGTCAGAGCAGGCTGCCTCACAGGTGTGGACGGTGTGAGCAGGGTGAGGGGAACACCTGTGCCACGAAGCAGGCCTGGCGTCCGCAGGCCGAAACTGAGGCAGCAGGCTCTGTTAGACAAGGCATCAAAGCCGGGGCCGCGCGTCTGAACGGGGAGGGCAAACTCACGTGGCTTAAAGTGTTACTCAGGAACTTGAGAAAGTGTGACAGATGTGCTCAAACTGCACTCTGTGGTAAAGGCAGGTGGATGTAGGAGGCCCGGCAGGCCTGGGGCAGGTGGGAGGGAGGCCCGGCAGGCCTGGGGCAGGTGGGAGGGAGGCCGGGCAGGCCTGGGGCAGTTGGGAGGGAGGCCCGGCAGGCCTGGGGCAGGTGGGAGGGGCTCGGCCTGTCTCCAAGCCGCTCACCAGGAAGAAACGGCCAGTGCGCACCTATCCAGTCTGCGTTCCTTCTCCAAAGCGTGTTCCTTACCATGCGCCCTCTCCTGTCCCCTCTCCTCCCTGCTTTCCGGGCTCTTCTCCTGTCCCCCAAATCTCTCATGCACCAGGGGGATTTCTCCATGCTGCGCCTGTCCCTTACCACCCTTTCTCAGCAGTCGAGCAATGGGAGTCGTTCATGGACTTGTTTCAAACTGTGGCGAATTAGCAAAATTTATTGCACATAAAAAGGGATTACTATCTTTAAAAAGCAAATTGTTTCCCCATGACCTAAGCCACATTCTCATGACCTTTGTTTTGGAAGGACAAATCGTACTTATTCTTTATTTGGGGAGGAGAGCATATAATATTTATCCTGCAAAATCACTACCAATGAATGTCTTTCATACAAACACACAATGTGCTGTTCTATTAAACAATGCGCAGCAAGTTAGCTAGAGAAAATGGCCTGGTTCACTCATGTTTCTGGTGCAAACCTCATCCAAGGCCAGAGTTGTGAGCAATGTGATACTGTGGGGCACAGAGTGGAGAAGAGCCTTGCAGCGCCTGTGGCCGAGGCCACGCTGCCCGCGCAGGACCCTGCAGGCCGGGGGCTTGAGAATGAACGCTGGGCGTGGTGGCGTACAGTAGACTCTGGGTGATGGGTTTGGATATTTTAACCATTTATATCTCGCTCCACTTTAATTCCTAACCCTCAGCTGGTAAAACATCTGGGAAGGTCACCACCGGTTCTCAAGAGACAGCAGGCGCTGCCTGTGCAGCTCACTGTACCCTCCCAGAGAACGAGCGGGGAGGGACCCACAGAGGAACCACCTGCCGCTGGCTCTCAATGGCTCTCAGCTGAGGACGACTTCCTGACCCCCCACACCCACCCCAGGGCATTGGCACTCTCTGCAGACACAAAGAGAAAAGGCAGAATGGTGCTCCGAGACACTGGAGGAATCCCGGACTGCTATTACACATTTGGCCAGGACAACCCCCAGAAGAAAACACCACCATGGTCAAGGGCTAGAACCCTTGAGTCTTTCAAGAAATTCCTCCTAAAGACCAAATATGTGTGGACGCACGTGGAAAGGTCATGGTTAAAGAATGAAACACACAACGTAAGTGAAGCATCTACACCCGCACTCCCTATCCGGAGAGAAGTCAAAGGACAGCCACCGTAAACTGAAGCAATTAGCCTAATTTCATGCTCATGTTCCAAGATAATCTCCAAAGTCAACGGTTGGGATTTCAAAAAAGAAAGGAAGGAGAGAGAAAGAGAGAAGTGGGAGGGAGGGGAAGGAAGAAGGGAATGAGGAAGGAAGGAAGGAAGGAAAGAAGGAAGGAAAGAAGGAAGGCAGAAAGGAAGGAAAGAAGGGAGGAAGGAAGGAAGGCAGGGAGGGAGGAAGGAAGGAAGGAAAGAGGGAGGGAGGAAGGGAGGGAGGGAGGAAGGAAGGAAGGAAAGAGGGAGGAAGGGAGGGAAGGAGGGAGGAAGGAAGGAGGGACGGAGGAAGAGAGGAAGGGAAGAAGGGCGAAAAGGAAGGAAGGGGAGTAACTGTCACTGGTTGAGAAGTCTTGACTAAGACTTTTTAAGAATTCATTTTTAAGAATTCATTTCTTAAAAATTCAGAGATGGTTGCCAAACTCAGTACCTCAACTGCTTGATTTCAAGTTTTCTTGACCGTAGCATCAAATACAGGAAGAGGTTGGTTGAGGAGCAAGTGCGCTGGGCTGACAGGGGGGAGTGTCCCAGGGCTGACCTCGTGTGCTGCTGCTTGCTCTGTGTTCTGTAAGATCATGGTGATGGGAATACTGATGCTAGCAGAAGCAGTGAATGCTACAAATGGGAGCCCAACAGCTCTGCCCGGAACCCCAAAGGCTGCAACCAAGCACTTACAAATGGTTCTCAGTTTGGTTTCACAATAGATAATAGATGTCTGAGTATAAAACATACAAACTGGGAATACACGTGCACCTACACATCACACATTTTTATGTCCAGTTTAAGACCATCCTAAAGACTTTCAAACCTTGCCCTAAACACCAAATTTACTTTGGAATTTCAAAGGCTGATAATCTGTGATATGTCCATGGACTTGTGCTAAGCACCATTTCCATTACACAGGTGAATCTTTGCAGAAGGCATGTGAGTCTCTCTGTTACTTTTTACAGAATAAACAGTAATACCTGGGTACCGGTGACTCACACCTGCCATTAGCTATTCAGGAGGCGGAGATTCGAGAATTGTGGTTCGAAGCCATCCTGGACAGGAAAGTCTGTGAGACTCTTACCTCCAATAAACTGCTCAGAAAAAGCTGGGAGTGGCGCTGTGGCTCAAGTGGCAGAGTGCTAGTCTTGAGCAAAAGAAGCTCAGGGACAGCGCCCAGACCTACTGTTCAAACCCCAAACTGGCAAAAAAAACAAAAAGAATAAAAGTAATGCCAAATCAGCAAAAGGAAATCTATATATTCATATCTGAAAAATAGAGCTCAACTCTACTCAGTGTTGTCTCAGGAATCCCTGGCATCCTCTTTTCTAGTGCACAGTAACTGCAGACACTCAGAAAATTTACAACAGCACTTGGAGGTCTTGCTTTTGTCCGCATACATGGAGCAACAGAGTTATTTCCCAGCCAGCTTGTGCGTGGGTAGGGCAGCAAGCTGACACAAGGCCGACAAAGAGGGCTCGCCAATTCCCGTCCTCCGGCTCTAGCAAAGAACATGGCCACACAACCTCCAGCTCTAGCAAGGAACATGGCCACACAACCTCTGATGTGCAGGGAACACTTTCTCCTGTCTCCCCTGGTAGACCTTTGATACTGAGGCTTGATGTGGCCCAGGCGCTGGGGGGAGGCATGCACACTGAGCTAGAACTTCCCTCTGACTTCCAGTGTGAGCAAATGGGTGGGGACCCCCGCTAAGATGCCAGGCAGAGAGAGAAAGCAGCTCGCTGCACAGGCTCACCCGAGTCAGGGAAGGAAGCCCTCCGCCTCAGGCAGGAAGCTGTGCCATGTTTTTTTAAGATCATGTTATTTTAATGAAGATTGAAAAATTCTATGAAGTACACACACACACACACATACACACACACACACACTCACACACACGCAGAATCCCGAATCCCTAAGACTTAAGAAAAATCTCAAATGATAAACGCAAAGGTCAAGTTATTTGTGGTAAAGTGAGTCATAAGAGGAGCACTGACGTTCACTGGAACAACCTTCAGAAGTGGGGGTGGGGAGGGGTGTGTCAAACATCCAGGTAATTAGCTCTGTCTTCCCAACCCGGGTGACTGGATCTGAAGTCCCTGCTGCTTTCCCCTGGCTCCCTCTGCTGGACCTCGGAAGACCTTGATCTTCTGACATGGAACCCAGTCCCACAGAAGGCAGACTTGAGACTGAGCAGGGAGAAGAGCAACGTTGAACACCTCCATGAAGCCTCAGGTAGGTCGATCAAGACGGAGTTAGCAGGCGTGCAATCCGGTGAGTTCTCTGAGAACACGCGGCGGTCGTCACACCCACTGCGCCAGGACCCCTCCATGTGGACGCTGGAGCTGGAGCTGGGCGTGGGAATCCACGGGGCTCGGCTTCCAGGGGAGCTGATGTTTGCCTTCGCCTTTCCATCCCCCGCGGGGCCGCGGCGGGCTGGGCACCAGGGCAGAGGTGAAGGGCAGAGGGCAGAGGGACCCTGGACCCCAACTCACATGGCCACGCGCACGCTGCCCACGGCGGCACCGGCGCCAGGCAGCCGTTTAAGGAGTGGCGAGGTTCAGCGAGGCCAGAGCCCCGCGCCGGCCAGGCGCCGAGGCTAAGAAGCCGAACTCCCTGGAAGAGCGGCCGCTGTCTCCTGTGTGACAGGCGGAGGCGAGGAGACAGCGGACAGGGAGGAGGACGGAGGGGGCACTGCTTCTCTACTCACTCAGATACGGTCACGACAAAGTGCAGGCATCACTCAAGATTTTTCCTGAACAAGTGTGTGTGTGCATGCGTGTGTGAGCGTGTATGTGCGTGTGTGTGCGTGCGCGCAATGTCCCGGCTAGGGCGCAGCTCCTGCTTTCCAGGAATGGAAGCGCCAGTGCCATGCGCTCCCGCGCGCTCCGCGGGGAGCGGGGACGAAGCTGTCCCGCGAGCAGCGGGCGCGGGCATCACAGCCTCCACCCGCCCCGACTTACCGCCTCGCTCCGCTCCGTCGGGCCGCTCCACGGCAGGGGGGCTCGGGGCGCCGGGGCGCCCGGCCGCGATCGCTGCGGGTCCCAGGGCGCACGCGGGTGCCTGCGGGGAAACGGCCGCGACGGGGGGTTCGTGAGGTGGCCGGGACAGGGGGGAGGCTGCGGGGACGCGGGGAGGGAAGGGGACACCGGGCGGGCCAGGGCGCGCGGCGGGCGCGGACTCACCTGCAGAAGGACGCCGGCCAGCAGCAGCCCTCGGAGCCCCAGGCCGGCCCCGACGCCGCGCTCCGCGGTCCTCGCTGCGCCCATGGCTCAGTCTCCCGGGCCTCGCCCAGGAGCGCCCGGCCGGCGGGAGTCGGCGGGCCGCGGCGGGACCAGGCCGGGAGCCAGCGTGCGGAGGCGCCGAGCCGGGCTGCAGCCCGCGGTGCCCACTGTGGCTCCGCCACCGCGTCGGCCGCGGTTATTACTGCAGCGCGGCCCGGTGCGGCGCGGGGGGCGGAGTGGCGGGGGGGGGGGGCGGCGGCGGGGCGGCGGGGCCCCCTCCCGGGCGCGGGGGAGGGCAGGGCGAGGGGGCGGGAGGACAGAAGTGGGCGGGCAGGGAGGAGGGGAGCAGGTAGGGGGGAGGAGTCTGGAGATCCGACAGGCCCTACCGGACAGTGGGGTCCGCACTCACCCCTCGGTGCCCTGCGGACGAGACCGCGCAGGGGCGCGGGGCGCGGCCGGCGGCCGGCTGCCTGGTACCGTCCGGCCAGCTATTGGGGTGCGAGATCCCGAGCACAGTCTGCGCCTCGGGCTGAGCGCCGCTGCGCCCGGCCCTCACGCCCGCAGCAAGGGAAGCTGCGCCTGCTGCGCGAGCCCGGCGTGGGGCACTGGGGACTCCGCGAGAGCGAGCGTCCCCCTGGGGGTTGAGGCTCTGGGGACGGGGACGCAGGAGCAGGCGCGTCGTCCGCCGCCAGCCCCGGCCAGATCGCGGGGCGCGAGGCATGGTGCCGGCCGCGGGGCGCGAGGCGCGCAGCCGATGCGGGTAGAGCGGCCCAGGGCCGTGCGCGCTGCGCAGCCCGATCGCCCAGCGGACGCCCGCTGCCTGGGCGCCTCCTGCCGCCCGGGGTTTTTAATGTGAGCGGGGCACGTGGACACCAGTGCCCGGTCGCTTAGCGAGTGCTCGCGTGTAAGTGTTGCACGCGTGTGGAAGTGCGCGTGGCTGCTCTGGCCCGCACTCAGCGGGAGGGCTGCGCGGCTGGGCCTCGCTGTGCAGGGGCTGGGCCGGGGCTGGGCAGGCCTGGAGCTGTCCAGGATGCCCCGGGGGCGGGGACCGCACACCTTCTCCCAATCTCAAAACGTCGCGTGTTTCCTAAGTGTGGTTTTGAAGGACCTCAGAGGGCATCGATTTAACAGGAAAGGGAATCGGGCTTCCCTGGTGGAGAGGTCCTGTGTAGAGGGGTCCCGGGCTCCTCCGGGCTTGCTTTGATTAATCCAGGCTGACACCGGGGAAAGGGAAGGGCTGACATGGAAGGAAGGATTCGCTCTCAGGCTTTTCTTCCCCCTTCTTTTGCAAGTCCTTAATGTGTGTCTTTCCATGGTGATGGGAAGTTTGCATTTCCTTTGTGCCCAGAACTCAGGCATCAGTCATCTTGCACAAACGACCCTTCCTGGGAGAGCGCAGCAGGGCCAGCTAGTGAGCGAAAGCTCATGGCACCGTCTGGATGTCAGGACAGAGCAACAGGAGTCGGTGGAGACTGACTAGAGGAAAGCAGAACACACCTAGCTCTTCTCTTGAAGAGATGGCTGGCCCCGGATCGGATCTAATCTGGAAAAAGAAGATAGAAATCCAAATTTGGAAATTTTCTCCATTAGAAAAACGCGCCACTGAAACAGTTCTGAGGGTAAACATAAGGATGCAAGTGGACTCAAACTGAAGTTTGCCTTTGGAGATCTTAGTGCGCTAAACATTTAGGAAAATTATTAAAGTTTAAGCAATATTTTTTTTTAAGTACAACTGGGTTAAAGTAGGAAGACAAGGGAAAAAGGGAGAAACATCTTCTGCTTCCCACACCGGAAGTAGTTGGCCCCGGGTCCTGTGGCTAGCATGCAGGCTTTTTAATCTGGGCGAGTACAGGTGGTCATGTCCTGTAGCAGCCCCAATCCTTAGACAGTGGTCTGGAGGCCCAACCCACATGCAGGTGGCTGTCACAACTTCCTTTTGCCCAAACTGCATTTCATTCTTCCTATCTTTACCCAGTTAGGAGTAGTTCCCAGAGTTCCACTAGGTTCTCTTTTCCTTAGAGTTATGTAGAAACACTGCACCCTAGATCCAATCTGTCTTGCTGCCTGAGTTTTTAAGTAAAGTTTTATTGAAACACAGCCCATTGGTTGAGATGTTGCCTGTGACTTCTTCCATAAAGGCTGGGTTGAGCTGTTGTAACCTGTATTGTATGGTCTGCACAACCAAAACAGTTTACACGCTGGCTCCTTAGAGAAGAAATGTGCCCGGAGCACTGCTCACTCCAGTTACAGCACTGCTCACTCCAGTCACGCGCAGCACTTGTCTTCTTGCTGACCGCAGGCTCTCATTTAAGAACTTGTCATAGACAAATAAAACCAAAGGATCTTAGATAGAGCATGAGATGTGTTCTTCTTGATCAACGGAGCTTGTAAAATCAAAGAAGCCGGAGCCAGCTCTCTCAAGGGAACAGTGTTTCTCTCCAGGGAACAGCACTTCAGATCAGAAAGAGGAAGTAGGGTCATAGTCTTTTTCTAGACTGTGTGAACTCTAAACCAAAGCAGTGCAAACAGGCATACTATTTTGAACAAAACCCACCCTGTGCACAGCTGGCCTAGTGGAGGACTTTGGAGGACCAGCTCCCTGAGCTCTGCCTTTTGTGCCATTCCACTCACAGCTGCAGGCAGACAGGCAGGCTGGCACGGCAGCTGGACTTTCATTGGCCATGGGCAGATCAGGGAGAAACCATCACTAGCCTGCAGTTCCTGTCCTCTTCTGAAAGATTAAAGTCCCCATGTGTCACTTTATATGGACTAGAAGACATGTCACAACTCCATTGACCCAAACCAATATTGCTAAGTTACTTCTCAGGCTGGAGATTCCACCCCTCCTTGGGGGTCCCAGAGGAGAAGCCAAGCCCCAGAGAGGTCGGGCAAGCCGGCTGACACCACCGGTTCCCATGGGGCCTCCCTAGCCCTGTGGCAGGAAGGGACACACTGGAGCAGGCTCCCGACCCTTATTCTACTCTAGCCTTTTACTTCCTTCCCCCAAAGGGTGGTTTAGAGGCTTAAAGCCCAGAGACATTCCCTAAAATGGAAACAAAAATATAAGATAGGAAGAAACAAGCAAAGTACATTTTCACATAAGAATTTTGAATTCTCAATCTGAGCTTGAAATAAGGGTGGGACCCTGGGTCCTGGGGATCTCATGCACCCACCCTGAAGGCTGACCAGGACTAACTGGAAGTTGGAAGACACTGGGAGCAACACACTCGGCCAGCTGACAAGCACCGGCCTGTCCAGGTCTGATCAGATCCCCATGTGAGTCCTGCGTGAGCGTGGTCCCTGGAGTGCTCAGCAGGACTGCAGGATTACCCACACTGGGTCCAGTGGCCACCCCGATGCTACCCTCTTGTACCCCAGAGGTGTGTGAGAGTCCAGGAAAATGATGATGACTGCGTCGCTGAGCACGCCCCTGAATTTGCAGTCCTCCTCTTAGAGACTTTGCTCTTCTCAGATAAAAGAAGAAAGGAGAATTGGATCTGTGGCCCAGGCAACACTTGGGGCCTGGATTCAAAATAAGGTGTGTGTGACAGCCTCTCCCTTTCTATCTAAATGTAGGAATGGAGATTCCACCATCCTCAACACCACCATCCCATTATTATATAACGCAAGTAGTTATTTAATGCACATCTGAATAACACATTATAACTGAGAGCTACCCAATAATCCATCAATTCCACTCCTGGGCACTTACCTAAAAGTGCACAGACCAGGATCAGTAAAAGCAGCCCTACACCCACGTTCATCGCATCCCTATTCACCGTAGCCTAGATATGCAATCAGCCCAGATGCCCCCAATGGATGAATGGATCAAGAAAATGTGGTATGTATACACAATGGAATTTTGCTCATCCATTCAAAGAGTGATACTGTACCATTAATTAAAAAGTGGAAAGGCCTGGAAAAATGTCTATGAAGTAAGTCAGGCCCAGAGAGAAAAAGAATGCATGTTTTCCCTTATACATGGAAGCTAGAGTTAACTTATAGACTTACAAGTAAATGAATTAGATGGAATGCATACAGATGTCTTCAGTGAAACGTGGTGGATTTGAGGGAGAACTCAGTGCAGTCCCTTAGAAAGGCACAGTCAAATTTCAACGAAATGAACACCAAGGAGTGGGTCCTTGAAAGAGATGGGGTGGGGTCAAGAGGAAAGGGCTAGGTGAATGAAGACAAGAATAGGAGAGAATGGAGTCAAGAATTCAACGTAGATCCTACCAAATGAGGAAGTGTGAGGGGAGAGAAGGGGAGGGGAGGGATGGGGGAGAATGTGGAAAGGGGTGACTGATTAAGATGCATGGTTGTCATGGAATGATTTGGTGAATGGCTTGTACAACTACTTAAAGATAATTAAAAACATGACATACTGCATACGGACTTTATAATTTATTCACCTTGAAATGAGCGTCAGGATCTGGCAAGCCCTTTCCTGCAGTGCTGATGCTTCCCACATCTGGAAGGGACCTGGCAGCCTGCCGTGTAGGCCTGCGGTCCAGGAGAGGGGCTCAGGTAGGTACAGCCTGCACATCTGATTTGGAGGAGCTCCCCGGACATTCCTTGAGCCCCCTGACAGGGACAGAAGCCTGGACAGTCTCACGGCCGTGGAGGGTGGGAGCGACACCGTGAGGATCCTGTGTCCTGCGGCTCCTGGGAGGGGAGCAGCACAGAGCCAGGCCTCAGAGCCTGCCCTGCGGCCGCTCCTAGCCTCTGAACAGAACTGGGCCAGCTCAGAATCATGCATGCTCTTGTGTGCATGCGTGCATTCACATGAGTGCTTATTTCACAGTTTGAGTGTGTATATCAAGTGTTCATGTATACATGTACATTTATCCATAAAGTGAGGTAAATTTGTTGGAGATATTTTTGACTACTTATTTAATGTGTATATTGTTATATTGTGTTTTTTCTCTTATGCTTGATTTCCCTCCCTCCCTTCCCCCATCCCATTCTCTTCTCTCCCTCCCTTCCTTCCCTCCCTCCTTCCTTCCTACTTTCCTCACTTTCCTCCTTCCTTCCTTCCTCCCTCC